CCCTCTACCTCTTCAGGCAAATCTGTGTAAAAAACCAGACTGTTCCCAGCCAGATCTCTGCCCTCGGCATTGACTGCTCCAAGGGTCAGCACCGTGGACAAGCCCGGCGTCTTTGGCACAACACCATCCGAGGCTCCAGCACTGCATAAGAGGACGTACTGAGCGCCCAAACAAAAGCAGACGGCATCAGGGTGCCATCTACCATTCACAAGCACCAGTCAGCACCGAAACTGCCAAGTCACTTGGCACCGGCTGCAGCACCTAAGAAACCCCGTGCCGACATGCCGCCCCCAGAGCAGTCGGTGCTACCTACGCCAACGGCACTGAGTAGTACATGAACCCTGGTACCATCCCAGGAACATCCACAACGCAAGTCTCCTAATAGGAGTCATCTTTCACCAGCACTGCTATGTAAATGCTCCTCCATTAAGTCGGTGCACTCACACATATCACTGAATTTGCCTCAATCCCCAAGTGAAGCCAGCACTGAGCCACGCAGCCACTTCTCCTCCCAGCACTCCAGCCCAGCACACAGAGCTCCATCATGGAGTACGGGGCCTATCACATACACATATCCACCACCACCCTGGTTGCGCATCACTACACATACCCTTCGCCCCTTTATCCTGGGCAATGGCAACCATGGCAGTCTCGTTCTCATAAGAAGAGTCACCATATTGCACCTTCAACAACAGCCAGGGAGCCACCTTACTCTCCCCAACCTACAACATCCATGACCGCGCCCAACTCTCCAGTCTAGACAGAGATGGAGGACTCTTTGTCAGAGGGCAAAGACAAGTCCCCTCTACATAATTCTTCGTCCTCACCAGACGAGGCGGTTATAACTACCATTCCACTCCCAACAGATGACACGAAAAAGTTCCAGGAACTTTTTAAAAGGGTGGCGTTACCACAAGAGCGAGACTTAAAGGAGGTTCAAGAAAAACAATATCGTCTGAGAACCTTGCAACCTCCTATCTCCTCCAGGATTGCCTTCCCCATGGACGAGGCCATTATGGACCTACGAGACAACATCTGGCAGAGCCTGACGTCATCACTCCAACCAACAAAAGAGTAGACTGAAAATACTTTATTACGCCAAAGGGGAATGGACTTCCTTTTCACTCACCCTCCACCAAACTCACTGGTAGTTGATTCCATTAAACACAAATCTAGACAAGCCAGTATGAAATCAACACCACAGGACAAAGACAACAAAAAAATGGATGTCACGGGTCGTAAAGTATACTCCTCGGCCACTCTGCTCCTCAGAGCAGCAAATTATACCACCATGCTAGCAGATTATGATTATTCCAACTACAGGAAACTCCAGGACCTGGTACAATACCTACCTGAACACAAAAGGCTTATCCTCCTCAACATCATGCAGGAGATCCACACAGTCTCTTGCACCGCACTACAGTCTGCAATAGATGTAGCAGACACAGCTGCACGCATCACAGCCTCAGCTATTGTTGTGCTCAGAATATCCTGGCTTCAAGCCTTGGGGTGCCAAGGAATTTGCAGCAGAAAGTTGAGGACCTGCCTTTTGATAAGACCAACTTCTTTGCTGCAAAAACCAGTGAAGTACTTCATTCAATGAAGGACTCCTGCACCACCCTCCAGATCCTGGGCATGTACATGCCCCCCTTTAAGAGAGCCAGATACAACAATTACCAAAGGCCCAGAAAGCCATACAGACAACAACTGAGGTGTGACTTCCAACAAAAGCAAAGGCCCCAGCAACCTAGACCTCAGTGCCAGCAACATCATCACTCAGCGGCAACCCAACCTTCTATATCCAAACAGCAAATTTGAAGGTTCGGTTGAGAACCAGAAACTCATTCTCCTTGTGGTCACACCATCGACCAATTATCTACAAATTCAACCATCGCCTTTGCCCATTTTTTCAACAGTGGACCCAAATAACATCAGACAAATGGGTCCTAGAGCTCACCCAATATGGTTACTCCATACTTTTCCTTTCTCCTCCTTCTACCCACCCTTCCACCCCATCCCTCTTCAGGGACCCATCCATGAGACACTCCTCAAACAAGAGGTACTTCTCCTCTGGTTAGGCACCATAGAACCAGTACCAACAGAGTTCCAAAGATGAGGGTTCTACTCGATTTATTTTCTAACACAGAAAAAGAATGGAGGGTGGAGACGCATTCTGGATTTAAGAAAACTCAACAAATATGTAGCTTACGACCAATTCAAGATGGTCATCCTCGCAACAATAATCCCAGCACTAGATCAAGGAGATTGGCTTTCGGCTCTCAACCTTCAGGATGCATATTTCCACATAACATTTCATCCCGCCCACAGCACAGGTGTTTTCTACGATTCACGGTGGGCCGTTACCAATACCACGTGCTCCCTTTTGGCCTTTCAATGGCTCCCAGAGTGTTTTCCAAAACTCTAGCCATTGTAGCAGCATGCCTACGTCGTCAGGGAGTCATAATATTCCCACACTTAGACGACTGTCTCATAAAAGGCATGTCCTTCCAAGAGGCAAAGAGCATGATCGAGACTAGCACGAGCCTCCTGCTTTGCCTCGGCTTCCATATAAACTTTGAGAAATCCACACTCCGTCCCACTCAGCCATTGGAGTTTATAGGAGTACACATCGATAATGTTGCAGACAGAGCTACTCTACCTGCACACAGATTCGACATCCTATGCAACCTCATAGCAGTAGCACAGGCGACCCCTACCATGACAGTTGGCAAATGCCTAAAGGGCCTAGGCCACATGGCCGCCACAACCTACATTGTCAGGCTGGCAAGGTTCCACGTGAGCTGCCTTCAGGCTTGACACGTCACACTTTACATTCTGTCCAGAGACCCGCTCTCCAAGTCAGTTACCATTCCGCCGCAGGTCCTCACCTCCTTGCACTGGTGGACAAATCCACACAATGTCTTAACGGGTGTTCCATTCTATCAATCGACCCCTTCACTTACTGACTGACTCATGGGATAGGGTGCCCACCTAGGAGCCCTCACGGTCCAAGGCAAATGGTCCTTTACAGAGCAAGTGCTCCATATCAACCTTTTAGAACTGAGAGCAGTATGTTATGCATGCCAGCATTTCCTGCACCATATAACACGCAAGACTGGCAACATTATGACAGACAACACCACTTGCATATATATATCAATCGGCAAGGCGGTGCACGATTCCCATCCCTATGTACTGAAGCCCTCAAACTATGGAGTTGGTGTCTGGCGCACCAGATTACCCCTGCTGCCACTTACCTCCCAGGAGTGCTGAACGTTACAGCAGATGCCCTCAGTCACAAGTTCTACAACCACCACGAATGGGAGATATATACGCACACCCTCAGTTACGTGTTTCGCTAAGGGGTCGGCCAGACATAGACCTTTTCGCGACCAGGAACAATCGCAAATGCCACCTTTACTGTTCCAGAGCAGCCTTAGGGAAACACTCTCTTGGGGATGCTTTCTGTATCAAATGGGATGCTCCATTATTCTATGCGTTCCCACCTCTCCCCATGCTTCATAAGGTCATCATCAAAATCAGAACAGAACAAGCCCGTGTGATTCTCCTCGCACCAGTGTGGCTGAGACAAACATGGTATCTTTACCTCCACAGAATGACAGTAATGGATCCATATGCTTTTCCACCCCGACACACTCTCCTCTCACAGAATCATGGCGTATTTCTCCACCCTGAACCGCACAAACTCCACCTCCACGCCTGGCTTCTTCATGGCTCCAGAATGCTGAAAATATCTGCTCCATCACACCGCTGAGGGTGATTCTTTCCTCTCGAACCAAAAGGTTCCTCACTGGTCTACAAAACACTTTTCCATCCGTTCGCCCACCAGTTCCCATCTGGGACCTCAATCACGTACTTAAGAGCCTGACAAAGCCACCTTTTGAGCCCTTAGAAATCTGCCCAGGTCATACCTATCTATGAACGTCTCCTTCCTAGTTACAATAACCTCCTTTAGAAGAGTGGAGGAACTTGCCGGCTTAATGGCGGACCCTTCCCTTATACAATTTTCTGCAAGGACAGAGTGACTGTTCGGCCCCACCCCAAATTTCTCCTGAAAGTTCCGTCTCCCTTCCCCATCAACGAACTGATCCACTTACCTCTGTTCTTCCCCAGGCCACACATTGACCCATCATATACGACATGGCACACTCTCGACATCCCCAGAGCACTTGTGTTCTACATTGATCGTACAAGAGCCTAGCAAATATTTCCTCTGCTCTTCCTCTCCTTTGCAGAATGATCCAAAGGACAGGCCCTCTCTTCTCAGAGGATTTCCAAATGTTTCTCTTCATGCATCCACACATGCTACACCATCCACAACAAAGAATCCACCTGGTACCATCATGGCCCATTCCACCAGTGCTATGTCCTCCACAACTGCCTTCCTCTCCAGGACATTTGCAACGCAGCCACTTGGTCATCAGACCACACATTTGCGCAACGTTACGCTTTTGCATCCTCCATCGCGTCATCTATGGCTGTCAGACAAGCAGTATTATCCTCAGTGACAGGGCTCCAAACCTGCCTCCATGAGCCGACTACTGCTTTATAGTCACCCAGAGTGGAGCACCCACGGGGACACTACTTGAAGAAGAAGAAGAAAGAGTTACTCACCTTGTGCAGTAATGGTGGTTCTTTGAGATGTGTGTCCCCGTGGGTGCTCTACTATCCTTCCTCCTTCCCCTGCTTTGGAGCCCTATATCTACTAGCATGGATAGAGAAGGAACGGAGGGAACCACCCCACACGCACACCTAGCAGACATTACTGGCACGAGGAAGCACCACAGCTCGTGCGTGGTGCAGCGGGGACAGAAAAATCTCCGGTCGCCAGCACGGGGACACACCAGCACCCAGATTGGAGCACCCACGGCAGCACACATTTCGATGAACCACCATTACTACACAAAGTGAGTAAGTCTTTCTTCTTTCTGTAAAAATCTTTTCTGGATAAAGGTGAAATAATTTTGTATTTTCTTGCAGATTTTAACAGACAATACTTCAACTGAACAGTCCCTAAATAAAGTATTTGATCTCTGTGTTGTATGTGGAGACAAAGCATCAGGTAAATTTTTCAGCTGGATTACTTTTTAAAAGCAGCTTCAAGTTACTCTTCAGAAACCATGTAATTTTTACACACACACTTTTTCACTGATTAGTCACTTTTAAATAAAAGGTGGAAACAGTATAAAGACAAACTTACTTAAAGATATAGCTGAACTGTGTTTAGATGGGATTTATTAATTTTAGCTTTACTAATTTGCATTTGTTTAAATGGCCCACTTAAAACAGTTTTCATATGCAGTTTAAGCATATCCAGGTCAGTATTATTTAACTGTAGACACTGATCAATCAAATCACTCAATTGGCTGAACTTGCATTCTTAATTGACTAGTCATTCTGACATTTTTGTAAAAGAAATACTGTACTATGGACTTGTCCATTGTTACTTTTAAGTGAATTAATTACAGGCAGTCCCCAGGTTACGTACAAGATAGGGACTGTAGGTTTGTTCTTAAGTTGAATTTGTATGTAAGTCGGAACTGGTACATATTGTAGGGGAAACTCTAGCCAAACATTTCTCCAGAGCTCAGTTTTATTCTCCCACACCTCACTTCTCTCAGTCCTTTATTCCCAAGCTGAGGTGTCTGCTGAGAAAAGCCGCTCCGTGTCTCCCTGATCTGCTGGGGTTGGGGAGCGCTAGCTTCGCGTCTCCCTGGTCTGCTGGGGGGAAGCAGCTAGTGCGGGGTTGCCTCACCCCGTTTGTAAGTAGGGATCCGATGTAAGTCGGATCCATGTAACCCGGGGACTGCCTGTATTTTAAACTAATAAAGATATCTGTGAAAAACTGTGCTGGTTATGTATAATATAAAAAAAGACACAATCAGGGAAAACAATAGAAATGTACTATAAAGTGTTCTTATGAATGATTTGTGCTAAGCAGTTTGAATCATCATTTTTGGAATTGCCCAAACACAGAGATGATACTTTTAATTCCCACTAAGGTAGGGTCTGTGTGTGTCTATGTTCTAGGGATGTTAAATATCGGTTAATTGAATAGTCAGTTAACCTCATGAATTCTTATTGGTTTCTTGACTATTCTGTAGTCCCTGAGGGGTGGGGCCAGCAGCCAGTGTGCTCCAGCCCCACTCCTGGGGAATCCCCTGCCACTCTGTGCTGCTGCCTCTGTATCAGAGGCATCAGCGCGGGGTGCTGGGCAGGAGCTGGTCCGCGAGGGGAGTCAATTTAAAAAACAGCTCCCCTTGTGGACCGGCTTCCCATTGCCCCACGCTGCTGCCTCTGATACAAAGGCAGCAGTGTGAGGTGGCAGCTGCCCCTGTCCAGGGATTGGGCTGAATTCCCAGACCCGGCGCAAGCCAGGACTGAGTTGGGGCAGCCTGCTAAAAAATTTACTGGGTGGAGTGGGGGAGAGTACGTGTAGTCTAAAGACTACACAATTACATTCCTACAGTGTTGTCAAAATGGAATCTTAAGGTAATAGTGAGAGAGCCCCAAAAAATGCCCTTTGTAACAATATTAGGGGATTGAGAGATGGAAGGGGGTAATGAAAGTAGGGAAGCAAATGCCAAGTGTGCACTGGAGCCCAGCATGTGTGGAGAGCTATGCTGCCTATCCCACACTGTGCCATCTCGGTCTCTCCTCCCTCATCTGTGACTTCCTCTGTTTCTCTGAGATGTGTTAAACATAATAGCATGTTTTCCGGGGTCTGTCACAGTTGAACTGCACTCAGGCAATCCTCCAAAGGCTTATTAAAGGAAGGAGCTTCCTCTGTAGTAGAGATGCAAGCCCCATTTCTCAAGTAGGATGTGGCTGCAAACTTCTCCCTTTCTCTGTGCATCCTCTTGATAATAGGGTATGATGGGAAGGGGACATGGAAAGTGAAGGCCTTTAGCTTATTAACTTTTGTGAGAATTGGCTAGAGCTCCATTAGAGAAGCAGTCTCAGAGGGGTAGCTGTGTTAGTTTATAACTTTAAAAATGAGTGCTCCTCTGGCACTTATATATACACATACAGTCACAAGCTTCCGTGGGTAAAACACTTCATTGGATAAGTTGGAGTGAAAATACAGAATCCAGGGTGTAAATAACAGCAAAAAGCATTTTCCTGTCAATTGTAGGATCTGTGTTAATGAAACTAATTAAGTGGACTGAATATGTCCCATTCATAGCTTTTCATGTGGAAATGTGAATGTTAAAGGAAGGGGAAATTGATTTTGTACTGGTTAACCAGTTAATATCTTTAGTCAAGCCTAGGGTAACAGTGTCAAATTTAGAAATGAATTCAAGCTCTGCAGTCTCTTTCTGTAATTGATTACTGAAATTCCTTTATAGAAAAATGGCTACTTTTAAATCCATGATTGAGTGACCAGGGAGGTTAAAATGTTCTTCTACTGGTTTATGTGTGTTACCTCTTCGGATGTCTTATTTGTGTCCATTTGTCCTTTGTCACAGAGATTGTCCAGTGTGGCCAGTATACAGGGCAGAGGGGCATTGCTGGCACCTGATGGCATATATCACATTATGGGATGTGCAGATGTATGAGCCCCTGTTGTTGTGGCTTATGTGGTTAGTTCCTGTGATGGTGTTGCTTGTATAGATATGTGGACATAGTTGGTTATGGGGTTTGTTGCAGTGGTATGTTCCTGGGTCAGTGTATCTGAGGTGTATCAAGTTCAGATGCACTTGAGGGGGTTAAGATGGGGGCTCTAGGTATTGATCACTCTTATTCTGTTGTTTTCCTTGTTGGGCCTGTCTTGAAGTAGTTGACTTCTGGGTACTTGTCTGGTTCTGTCAATCTGTTTCTTCACTTCCCAAGGTGGGTATGTAAGTTTTAAGAATGCCTGATAAAGATCTTGTAGGTGTTTATCTATGTGGGATTGGCTGTAGGAAAGTGTTTCTCAACCAGTGGTACGAGTACCCTTAGGCTACATCTAGACTACAAGCAGATTTTTCAAAAAAGTAAGCTGCTTTTTCGAAAGAGTCTAGACACTCTCTTTTGAAAAAGCACAGTTTGCATGAGTACTTTCGAAATGAGTACTTTCGAACAAAGGCGTTATTCCTCGTAAAATGAGGTTTACCATGATCAAAAAAACTGCCGCGATCTTTTGATTTACTTTTGAAAGAACGCGGCTGCAGTCTAGATGCAGGTGAAGTTTTTTTTTTTTTTTTTTTTAAAAAGCCACTTTTTTTTCGAAAAAAACCCTGAGTCTAGACATACTCCAACAGATTTATTAGGGGATAAGCTTTTAAGGGTAAACCCACTTTATCAGATGAATTGGAGTGGAAGTTATAGAAGCAGGAGTATATATAAGGAAGAAGTTGTTTGTGTTAATAAAGCTAATCAAGTCAGGGTGGAAGTGGGTAATTCATAGCATTTGGTCTGGAGATGTGAATATCCAGAGAGGGGAAATTGCCTTTGTAATGCATTAGCCAGTTGAGATCCTTGTTCAATCCTAAATTGATAGTGTTGAATTTGCAAATGTATTCCAGGTCAGCTATATGTAGGTGGAAATTGTTGAAATCCCAGTGGAATTCTTCAAGGGTCTCCTTCCCATGGGTCCATATGACAAGGATGTCATCAATGTACTATACATAGAGGAAGGATGCTAGAGAATGGGAGCTGAGGAAAAGTTGTTCTAGGTCAGCCATAGAAATATTGGTACAGTAAACTTCCGATAATCCGGCACCTTTAGGACCTAGGGGGTGCTGGATTATCAGATATGCCGGACTATTGGAAGGGGGGGCTATGAGGGGGCTGGAGGGGCATCCCCCCCACCCCACCCCAGATCCCTCATAGCCCCCCCCTTCTGATAGTCCGGCTCTGCCCCAGGCGTCCCTGATTCAGTTTCAGCAGCGGCTGAATTTGGACGGCTGAATCGGGGATGCCTGCAATAGAGCAGCTGGGGTGCTGCCGG